CCCCGCCCCTCCGTGCTGGTCACGTCCGACCCGCTTGCTCCTCGTGGCGCTTAGCTGTCTTGTCCCCTTTTCTTCGTCGCTCCATCGCTGGGGCCCCTGGTCTGCGGCTGGATAGGGCCCGGGCTCCTGTGCGGTCGGGGATGCTACGCGGCCGGGCGCAGCCAGTGGGTTATGTAACCTCGGGCTTCGCGGCTGCGGGGAAGAAGGGGTGGTGGCCTTGTGTGCCCAGATCTCTGGGCTGGGCGCGGCCCCGCACACCTTCCCGGGCCTGCGAGGCTTCCACGGTACCCATTACGCGCGCAGATTCTGAGGCTCCTGCCTGTGCACCCGAAATCGCTGTCTCGCGGGCCGCTGTTGGAGAATGGGATGACCAGGAAGGTCACGGCCTATGGAGCTGCAAGTCTTAATTAGGGCAACATGAAATTAAACACTGGCCCGGATTAGGTAGAAGATGGAGCTTCCTGCCGGGTTTCACTCGGTGGCACACGTGCTGGGTTTGCGGAAGCAGAAAAGCACCTTCCTGTCTGAAAGGTTATTTTCGTACCCAGTCATAGAAAGATGCCTTTTGGCTTAAAACATTTAGTCCACGTTTTTCCTAGAACGGAAGCATTTAGGAGTTGCGAACCGCCTTTTACAATCTGGCTAACACATTCGTATGAGAGCGTTCGATTCTGGTCCTGTTTGCAAGACAGGAACCTGGAGCATCATTTTCCTTGTGGTGGAGATACCGGTCTCTATTCTCGAGTCTCCGTGAGTGCTTTTAGCCACTTTACAGGGTCTGATAGTTCCTTAATTCACATCGGAGACTGAAGATGAATCATCTCCCTGCCATCCATACGTGCATCTTGTTACCTTTGGGAGTCCAGCCCTCTAAATACCATGTATTTCCTGGAAACCAGGCCCCTCAGGGATCCTGCTATAGTCTTTACCAAGTAACAAAATATGAGAGCATTTTGGTCTCTGGAGGAGCAGACTTCAGACGAAGTCAGGCAGGGAGGGGTCAGTCTGTGGTATTTGACTCTTGAACCAAGGTAGGACCATACTGCGTGAAATATTCTTATTCAGCTTGGTTCCCCAGGGTGGGCTTCTGGGATGTGTTCAGCCTGCTGGTTGGTGCCAGATCAGAACTGAGGTGGGGGGCGGGGCCCCATTTTGGCAGTCCTGAGGGTGTGGCCCCTTCCCTAGTACAGAAAAAAGCATACCTAGCTCAGGACCCCTGGGGCAGCATTGTTAGCAAATAATTTGCCCTTTGGTTGGCCTGAGGTACTGGTGGCAGCACCTTGGGGCTGTTCCTAGGGGAAGGGTAATGTAGACCATTCCTAAGTCGGGAAAGGGTGCTGTGGGCAAGATGACAGAACCTGTCAGTTTAACTGCTTTTGAGAGAATTATCTTCTTTGGGTGAGTGGGGAAGCTGTGTGGTTCTGGTGGGTTTAAGAAATTTCCCTCTGGGGCCGGGGATTTTGCTCAGTGGTTCCAGCCCCTACCTTGTAAGCACAAGGTCCCGAGTTCAATCCCTGGTACCAGAAAAAAAAAAACCCTGTGATGCCTTGTGTGGTGTACACCTGCCTATATAATCTTAGCATGCAGGAGGCCGAGGCAGGAGGATCTCTTGAGTTTGAGGCCAGCCTAGGCTACACAGTGAGTTCAAGCCCAGCCTGAACTACATAGTAAGATTGTGTCTTAAAAAAAAAAAAAAGGCAGAGGGTATGGGGGCGCACACCTGTAATCCCAGCACTCAGGAGGCTGAGGCAGGAGGATCGCTGTGAGTTGGAGACCACCCTGGGCTACATAGTAAGTTTCAGGTCAGTCTCAACCACACAGGGAGAGACTGTCTCAAAAAACCA